TGTTATTAAATAATCTTAGGTTTAGATTTCAGTAGAAAATAAAATGTTGTTGTCCTGTTAGCTAGGAACTCCACAAGCCTACCCGTGTGTTTAAACCATACATCAGTCATAATTCAGAAAGTTTTTCCACAATTGTTCAAATGTCACTGGTCTTGCACAGAGATAATGACTGCCGCTGCCAAATGTTTCCTCTCTCACAGGAGCGACTGGAAGCAGAGAGGAAGGAGAAGAAGAAGCAGAAGGACAAGGAAAGGAAGGAGAGGCTGAAGAAGGAGGGCAAGCTCCTGACCAAGTCCCAGAAAGAGGCTCGAGCCAGAGCTGAGGCCACGCTCCGTGCGCTGCAGGCCCAGGGTGAGAGAGAAACGTGGCAGCATATTTACATGTATAGTATTTTTATCAAAATGCAGTCTCTGCACGAAAAATTGGGTGTTTCTTAGCTCTGGGTGTTTCTCTAATGAGGTCAGTTGTGCTGATCCAATTTAGTAGAAGTTATCTTGGACCTAGGTGTCTGCCGAGAACATTCTAGGAGACCTGGTTATGAAAATGTTGCAAATAATAGTAATGTTTTAGTGTTAATTAATCAGAAAATGCATCTCAGAAACATTTCGAATGAGTAGTCTCGAAGCTCTGAAATTCGTAAAGTAATGTACAGCATTCCAAAACTTTTTCAAAGTTTTTTTTAACCAAACACTTTGTTAAGCATGCTGTAAGCTTGTCAGTGAACAGCTTGGTGTCGGCTAAATAACTTAACGCTCAGTAGTGTCACATACACAGCAGTTTGATGAAAAGTAACATTTTACAGTACATATATAGTATTCGAACATGTATTTTTTCCTGAATAATTCCCATCACCACCATAGAGCCCTGTGATCTTTATTTTATATATTATTATTATTATTATTATTATTATTATTATTTTATATATGCAAAATAGGCAATATTCTGCACTTCAAAAGTTTTGTACTGCTTAAAATGATCTGTATTGTGCAGTCCTGGTGCTACACATTATAGCTTTTTGTATGCATGTTTCCTTTTTTTCTCTGGCGTGATAAATATGTCTTTATGCTCATTCTCCTTGCTCAATGTTTAAGGTGTTGAAGTGCCATCCAAAGACTCTGTGCCAAAGAAGAAGCCTGTTTACTCTGACAAAAGAAAAAAGAAGCCAACAGCACACACTCCTGAAGGTAATGTTTCCTAAAACTGTACAGCTGTGTTCAAACCCTTGCTTTCTTATATAGTGGAATACAACTGTTTATTCCTGTTTGCTCTGCCAGAGACCTCAGGAGTGGCTTCACCCACGTCGGAAGTGGCTGAGCCGATCGCCATGGCGATGGACGTGGACGCTTCCAAAGAGGAGCCAGGTAATTTTGCACACTTACTCTTTTTCATTCCTGGGCTGATGAGTGCAGTATTTCAATATTTCACACGAGGGCAGGTTGTGAATATTTTCGGTTTATTTTTGCAGAGGCTGAAACTAAGGCTGACAGTGCAGACCTAGATGACTGGGAGGCCATGGCCAGTGATGAAGAAAGAGGTAAGACCACAGACAACTGGATACACGTCCAGGGCGCTTTTACATGTGCGCTGTTTAGACTGTTTGAGTCTATCCTTTGTTTCGCACTCTGTGCAGACCAAAACAACTGAGATGAGATTGCCTGAGCGAGGTAGTCCAAGCGAACTCTAAGAAAGCAGTTCAACCCTGAATTGACCCAAGTGCAGGAAGTTAACCAAATATCCTGTGTATTATGTGTTATAGGCAGCATTTAAAAATTTTTTTTTATAGATATTACCTATTCACTCACCCGCCAAGTGCAAACTGAGCCGAATACCAGTGCTGAAGTGCTGCAGCAAAATGGCATGGACTAAACATGCGAGCCAAAACAAACGAGATACAAAACACAAAATAATTTACGCTAGTTATTTATTATTTAATCACATATTTAGTACCAGCACTGTTCTCCATGCTCAGTTAAATTTCGTAATATTTCTACATGTATTTGCCAAAGATTTGTTTCTCTTGTACTGTCACTTTATTTTTGAATGAAAGAGTACATTTTTCAGGCCTGTTCCCTTTCAGGTTTTTTTTCTTTTGCTTTTTGGTTTGGTTTGTTTAATTATGTGCAGTGTAAAACTAAATTCATGAATGAATGAATGAATGAATGAAAGCCTTTATTGTCATTGTATATCTCTGTATACAACGAAATTAGGAGCACTGCTTCTGACTGGTGTTATAAAAACAAACATATAACATTAGACAATAAATAGACTATAAAGTGAGTATACCATATAGTATAAAAGTATGTATGTATGTACAGCAAGTATACAGTATAAAGTATATACAGCAAGTGACTAAGTTATAATATTGCACATTGAACATTCAGAACATTCTGAAAAGTGACCAGTGATAGAATTGCACATTACCCTCTGCATTGGTGTAAACAGTTTAGTATAAAAACACAGAGTACAGATTGAAATGGAATAAGTAACTGTAGTTGAGTAAGTGACCAGAGATAGTAATTGCTCGCACTCATAGCAAGTGAACCAAAAAAATATCCCAATTGCTCTGAGTTGAACTCTGACTAATAGGTGTGAGAGATTTGCCTTGAATGTTTCTTACTCACTATATTTGTTTTCCAAGTCCCATTTTAATACTTTTCCTCAGTTCAGGCTTAAAAATCTGTATTGAGAATGTGATTTGTGATAGGTAGGTGGGTGGGAAGGTAGGTAGGTAGGTATGACAGGCTTTCTTCACTATAAAAATAGACCAGAAAAGTGGTTCTTGGATTAATGAAAGGTTTTTAAACCAAAAAACTGCACTGTGCCATAATTATAAATGTGGACTGTTTTAATTTTAACCTATTGTTGGAGAAACTCAAAATTAGGAAACTCAAAAATAACATTATAAGGGCATTATTAACACCCTTAAAACTTCTGAAGTGGAACTGCACTTTTTGGTACTGGAGCAGTGACCAGTAGAATAAGCAAAGCTCCAATTTGCTAGTGCCAAATGTTCTGTGAAAAAGACCTTAAGCATATGAAAAAAAATCTGCCAGCATTCCACTAAGATTAATGTATCATTGTTTTTCATGTCTGTCTCAGAGTTGAAGAAGGTGCACATCGAAGTGAAGGAGACAGCAGCCACTCAGCCAACCCACAAACCTTCTGCTCCTGCCGAACAGGAGAACGGTAGTGAAGAAGAGGAGGAGGATGACGAGGATGATGAAGAGGAGGATGAAGAGGACGAGAGCGAGGAAGATGAGGAAGAGGAAGAGAAGGACAGCCAGACAGCAAAGGACAAGAGTGGGAAAGAAGAGAGCTCGGAGTCGAGCAGCGAGAGCGATTCAGATGACGAGCGCACCAAAGAGGAGAGGATGTACGATAAGGCCAAGAGACGCATAGAGGTACAAACATAAAAAAGTGATAGAAAAATGACCACATACGCAAGGCAAAGAGAGACATAGAGATACTGGTGCAAAAATGTGACAAGAATGACCCCAAACCCAAGGCCAGGAGACATGGAGAGGTACAGATGGGGAAAAATGTTCCTAAAATGACCACGCACAAGGCCTAGAAACGCATAGAGGTGCAAACACAAAAAAGTGTAATGACTACACACACAAGGCCAAAAAGATTAAAAAATATATATATATATATTGGTATGCTCATTATACTGAGGAATAAAAGGTGGATGGAACTGAGACTACTGGCAAATGTCATTGGTTTTTCTACCTGATTCTAGGTTGTTTATTTTTTTTGTATGTCTGTGTTGCAGAAACGGAGACAGGAGAACCTGAAGAACATTAACGTGGACAAACTGAGAGCTCCTGTGGTCTGTGTCTTGGGGCATGTAGATACAGGGAAGACAAAAATCCTTGACAAGGTAGGTGTGGGTGTGTGTGTGTGCGCACATGCTGTATCTACCAATTCCATTCTTGGTTCCCACAGTGTACAGTGTGAGTTTATCAATACAACTCAGTTCTGCTGTTTTATATCTCCAGCTGCGACACACGCACGTACAGGATGGCGAGGCAGGTGGAATCACTCAACAGATTGGCGCCACCAACGTTCCCTTGGAAACCATCATTGAGCAAACCAAGATGGTGAAAAATGTGAGTACCTCATGACACACTCACGTGCAGTACTGAGGAATATTTGCACTATGTGAACACTTTCTAGACAAATGTTTAAGATATTTTCATGTCCCTGATTTGTGTAGTGATTTTTTTCTTCTTCAGTTTGACAGAGATAATATAAAAGTTCCAGGAATGCTGATTATCGACACACCAGGACACGAGTCTTTCAGGTGAGCACCAGTCGACAGCTTTGTGGATTCCTGATTGGTCTGATCATTTGTTGTGTATATGAGGTTAGTCTGCCTCTGATCTGCCTTTCTTTCTATCTTTCTGCTTTTTTGTTGCGGTCTTCGTTTCTGCTTTTCTGCTTTGTCTTCCTTCTTCCTTCCTCTTCCTATTTCCTCCTCTCCTTCATCCCGTTTCCCTTTTTTGTGCTGTTCATCTCTGCAGTAATCTGAGAAACAGAGGCAGCTCCCTGTGTGACATCGCGATCCTGGTGGTGGACATAATGCATGGACTGGAACCACAAACCCTCGAGTCCATCAATCTGCTGAAGGAAAAGAAGTGTCCCTTTATTGTGGCTCTTAACAAGGTGGGTCTCTCTGGTGATCTGAGATCAGACGATCACAGAGCAACCTTTGCCTAAAGCTCTATTCAGATCGGACTAGTTTTACATGAAGAGATGGGGTAATATAATCATTACTGGAGTATATTAGGTTTTTTTTTTTTTTTTGTACGGATTGCACATGCATGTGTCTGGAAAGGTTACGCCAAAGTATACCTTCTGCAAAATGACCAGTAGAAATAACTCAGGATCATATACTATATATCCTGTTCGAATGGACATGTTGGTAAAGATTCAGTTATATCCTGTGCAGAAAGAGGTTTTGCGCTTTTTTTCGTCAGTATAAATAAACTTCAGGAGGGTCCCGGAGGACTAGTGGTTAGGCCTCGGCACTACCTGCACTACACTGCCGTGGCCTGGGTTCGATTCCCGGCCAGGGAACTGACGCCAGCCACTGGGGATGCACAAGACAGTGCAATCCCAATGCCGGTCCCAAGCCTGGATAAAACTGGGGAGGGTTGTGTCAGGAAGAGGATCCAGTGTAAAAACTGTTCCAAATCAAACATGCGGAACTGCGCACTCTTTTCTGTTGTTTCTCACCAAAACGAAATCAAGTATTGGAGTTTGTTGGGGAACAATAAAATATAGATAATATTTACAAGGAGACACAGATACAGCCTACAGACAAGTTATAGTCATGTGACCTACTAATGATCACAAGTTGAAGCCACAAGTCCTAAAAAAAGTGGTTATAACAAAACTCAAAACGGTCTGATTGTATTAAAATGTATGTAGTACATATGGAATTTTTAGTGTGGTGACCATGCATACATTGTGAAGATCATATCCGTGATTTATATGAATAGTACTTAATTCCTCTGCGTTACACTGATTAATGTACTGGGTGGCTGAAAGGGATGATGATTAAGTCTTGGTACTAAATATTTAGTGACTATGAGAAGTGGTTAGGCATTATCTCCACTACACAGGATGAAATCTGCGTTGTCCTACTTGCTAGAGAAAAGTGCAATGCATGTGTTAGTATGGCATAAAACAAAGTCTACTACCTTTTTCTTAATGCCTTTCTCTCTCTCTTTCTTAGATCGACCGTCTCTATGACTGGAAGAAGAGTCCGGACACAGACGTGGTGGCTACTCTGAAGAAGCAGAAGAAGAACACTAAGGATGAGTTTGATGAGCGAGCCAAGGCTGTCATGCTAGAGTTCGCCCAGCAGGTTTGTGCGCACTCCATGTCCTCCCATAGCTGGCAAATTCTCCTTCCTTTTCTTCAGCACCGTATTGTTGTAAATGCAAACAATGTCATTCATGCCTCATTTATACCTTAATGATGAAGTAAGTGATTCTGAGAAGATCCTTCACTGGTATCTTGTAATATTACACCACTTGATATTATCACATACACAGTTTCACAATTCTGCTATATACAATACATGATTTGTTCAAAATGGGACGTAAACACAGCACAAGTGCTGTAATCAGAGTTGATTGAAGATGAATCTCCAGATGAATGTTCACATTGCAGTAGAGCAGAATGTGTGTGTCTAAAAACACTATTTTAAGTTAAATAAAAAATATCATTTATAAGTTGAGATGACTTGTGTGTTTTTGTGTGTATGTGCACAGGGTTTGAATGCAGCTCTGTTCTATGAGAATAAGGACCCACGCACTTTTGTGTCTCTCGTGCCCACCTCTGCGCATTCAGGCGATGGCATGGGCAACCTGATCGCCCTGCTGGTAGAGCTCACCCAGACCATGCTGGCACGCAGGCTGGCCCACTGCGACGAGCTCCGTGCACAGGTCATGGAGGTGAGCTTGAAATATCATTCCATCAGAAAATGCCAGCCTCCATGCCAATTATACTGTATTTGCATATGATAGTATGAGAACTAGTAGTAATGATTTGATTAGGTAAAAGCACAAAGGTATCGAATGAACCGCAGTATAATGAACGGTATAGTCATGCAGCAAATGCTCAGGCTAGTATTTGGGAAGTAGGAAAGTGTTGGTGTTGTAAATGTTTTGTAATCAGCAGCAGAATTACAACAGAATATGCTTCCTGCTGTTTCTTGGCCAGGTAAAAGCTCTGCCAGGTATGGGCACAACGATAGACGTGATCCTGATCAACGGGTGCTTGCGTGAGGGCGAGACCATCATTGTGCCGGGCGTGGAGGGGCCTATCGTCACTCAGATCAGAGGACTGCTGTTGCCACCGCCTCTCAAGGAGCTCCGTGTCAAGGTCTGGCTCTGGCTTTCCACAACTACCAGCCTACATGCTATACAGTGCCATAAGTTCCTACAGATATGTAACAGCTTCCTGTTGAATATCTTTGTTCAGAATCAGTATGAGAAGCACAAGGAGGTGAATACGTCTCAGGGAGTGAAGATCCTGGGGAAGGATCTGGAGAAGGCTCTGGCAGGCCTGCCGCTGCTCGTGGCTCATAAAGAGGACGAGGTTCCTGTACTTAAGGTAAGTTTTATCCACTTAGGAACAAAGGCTAATTTTTTTATTTTTTTAATTCATCATTTTGTTGCTCTTGTTTGGGAACTTGGTGGCACACTAACAGCGACAATGCATTAAATGGTTAAATAGCAACTTTTGCCAAAATCTTACTCTAGGCCATGGTAAATATTTCATATTTAATTTTAGAACTGTCAACTTCATCATAATACAGTTGGTAATGAGAAAAAATAATATATATATAACAAGACTGCATATTGACCCTTCATCTCAATCGTTATGGCATGAATTTTACTTTTCTGCCTCACCTTTCCGTACACAAAATTATTTATACTGAGATACCACAAATTTTTCTATGACCGGGATTATGAAAAATCCTATTTCATAGCATATTTGTTTTTGTGTATGTCTGTGTAGGACGAGCTGATCAGGGAGCTGAAGCAGACGCTGAACGCGATAAAGCTGGAGGAGAAGGGTGTGTATGTACAGGCATCGACACTGGGCTCACTAGAAGCTCTGCTGGAATTTTTGCGCACATCCAAAGTGCCTGTAAGTACAAAGATCAATCCTGAATCTAACCTCAAACTATCTGCATTCACTGATTTTTTTTTATTTTATTTATTTATTTTTTAAATTTAATTTAATTTTTTAAATTGAAGAGTAGTAAAGGGCCCATTTAAATTGAAAGTAGTGTTTTTTGGCTCTACTCATACATGTGTTTTTTCTCATGGGTGGAAATGACTACTTGCAATTCTTTGTAACTGAGCCATAAGCTTCCAATAATTATCAGTGAAGCGTTTGTAATATATTTACCTATGCCTCTGAGGCTATGGAAATGTTTGTAGTGTGTTGACTAGTGTATTGTATAGATTAACCTGAAAATCCCAAAAACCTGTCCAGTGATTTGGATTTGTTTGTTTCGTTGTTTTTTTTAAATTTTAATTTCAGTATGCTGGCATTAATATCGGTCCTGTTCACAAGAAAGACGTAATGAAGGCATCTACAATGCTGGAGCATGACCCACAGTATGTATTTTATATACATCTCTGTAAATGTCTTTTTTCACAGAGCATACAAATAATGTTTAATAATATTTTCCACAATATGGCTTAAGGGTATCCTTCTTTAAAACTCATGAATTGTTGCACTTTTCTCTGGTCTGCTGCAGGTACGCAGTGATACTGGCGTTTGATGTGAAGATTGAAAGAGACTCTCAGGAGATGGCTGACAGTCTGGGTGTGCGGATCTTTAGTGCCGAGATCATTTACCATCTGTTCGACGCCTTCACCAAATACAGGGAAGACTACAAGAAACAGAAGCAGGAGGAGTTCAAGTACGCGGTCTTTCTGTCTAGCTCTGTAGCTCCCAGCTAATAACTGTCTTGATTTTAATTCTTATCTCCTTTTGGTCAGTGTCTCAAATTACATACTTTGAACCTACCACTATGTACCATATTAGTACATCAAACATGATCTTAAATGGGTTTGTAGATGAGAGGATTCATTTAAGTATTATTTGGCAATTGAAGGAAATTATATTGAAAATGCATGTGATGTATATAGCATTTAGTTTAGTTAGATATCTAAGCTGATGATTTGCTCTGTGCAGTATTTTAATGTACATTTCACTAACAAGTATTGCTTTGAGATGGAGATAAAAGGGGCACATATTACAGACGAGCTCGCTCGCTTGGTCATTATCAGCCAATAGTACAAAAAAATCTCTACCCTTCCCAACCCCCCAAAAAATATTTGTTTAGCAAACATGGTCCGTCGTCCTGGTGATTTTACTATTCTGCATGTGTTTTTATACCTCAGTGTGAACACTATAGATCTGATAGTTGTATTTTGCTGTATTTTCATAATCACTTGACCTTAAACATACCTGTTTGGCTCAGAAATATACAGGTTCAGTTCATGCCATGTTGTACTTTATTAGAAATAAATTAACTGTACAGAATGATTTCCAGAAAGACTGTGTGTTTGTGTGTGTGTGTGTGTGTGTGTGAGATAATAATAACCTGTCTCTGTCCCTGTCTTTTGTTCATCTTGTCTCTCCACTAGGCACATAGCAGTGTTCCCCTGTAAGCTGCGCATCCTGCCTCAGTTCATCTTTAACTCCAGAGACCCTATAGTCATGGGGGTGACTGTGGAGGCAGGTGTACTGAAGACAGGCACCCCGTTGTGTGTACCTAGCAAAGCTGTAAGTGTGTGTGTGTTTGTGCATGATATTGTTAACACACTATTCCAGGCCTCCTTGCATTGATGCCTATACCTTTTGTCATCTTTGTCCAGTTCGTGGAGATTGGCATCGTGACCAGTATTGAGGTGAACCACAAGCCAGTAGAGACTGCAAAGAAAGGGCAGGAGATCTGCGTGAAGATCGAGCCGATTCCCGGAGAATCGCCCAAGATGTACGGTCGACATTTCGAGGCCGTAGATATCATCGTTAGCAAGGTGAGACCGTGTTTACATAATGTGTGGCATGACACTAACTGAAAGGATTAGTTTATTCAATTAGTTTAGTTTGCTGCTGCTTCCCTTTCAAGCTTTATTTTTCTATGCACATTTAATGCACATTTATTACCAGATAAGATGAAACCATGCCTACAAGTTTTTCTTCCATTTTTGCATCTTATATAGTAAAAGGGAATTAATTACAAGTAGGAACTAAATTTGGGAGTTAATAAATGTCAGACCACATGGACATTGAGTCAGTTGTCTGGATTTGTCACTTTACCGCATCATATCTGATGTGCATAGAATTGATCAAATCTCAATTTGAATGTTGCTTGCCACTGTCACTGAAGTCACGGCTACGTGTTGTGCATGTACACAGAAATACTTACTGTACACATGCTAGTTACAGAGGTGATGACACCAAGACATTAACAATCGGAACGGTCAGAACTCAGAATTACATCTTTTTCGACCTCTGTCTTTCGACGCCTCCATCTTTTATTA